TCAGCATGCCCTTCTGGCCAACTCCCGCCCCAAATACACACATAAAAGGATGCTCAGGGCAGGAAAGCAAGCATAGGGCAAGGCGCTATTTTTCCTCACTAACTCCTCAGCTCACGCCCATCTTATGGTTGATATTTATGTAGAGGTACCAGGTGGGGAAAGACCCAAAAATACTTTTTGTAAATTTACACAGTTATATGACCTTTCAGTGTTCAGTTGCCTTTTTATTATATAAAAGCTTTATTTGTTTCACTGTAGAAGCTAATCATAAAATATCCAGTGCTTGTAAAGATTAGAGGGACAGACTTTTTCAGACATCACTTTTCAATTTTTGTCAATCTTGTTGTGTTAATTTACATTTCTTTGATTATTTATTAGTGAGCATGTGCTTCTTTTGGTATGTGTGCTTGCCATTTGTATTTTTCTGTGCATTGCCTGTTCATCTCCTAGGCCATTTTTCTTTTGGACTACTTAGCAATTTTTAATTTATAGGAGCATTTTATGTAGATTAATATTTAACAAAACAGTACAGAATAGTGGTTTTAAGTGTTTAAGCTCTAGAAGAGTTGCCACTTCCTAGCCTCAGTTTCTTTATCCATAAAAATGGGCATTTTTATCTCATAGGGTAACAGTCTACAGTATGTGATAAGCATTCAATAAATGTGGACTGTTCTTTTGTAAAATCAGAAACTGTTGGATTTTATCAAATGCTTTCTCAGCATTTTTTGCTGGTGATCATTTTTCATCTTCTTTAGCTCATTATTGCATTGAATTATATCACTACATTTCCAAATGTAAAACCATTCTTGTGTTTCTAGAAAAATCCCTCTTGGTCAGTGGTACCTTATTCTTTTAATGTTTTAATTGATTCCATTTGGATATTTTTAGGGCTTTTGATATACATTACCTATTTATCCTCCAGAAAATTTATTGAACCATAGCTCCATCAGTAGTGAATGAGTGCCTATTTCTCAGTAATTACTGTTCATTTTTTTTTCTTTTTATTAAATCTTTATTGTTCAGATTACATTTGTTCCTCTTTTTTTTCCCCCCCCATAACTCCCCTCCTCCCAGTTCCCGCCCCACCCTCCGCCCTCACTCCCCACCCACTGTCCTCATCCATAGGTGCACAATTTTTGTCCAGTCTCTTCCCGAATCTCCCATTTCCCTTTCCCCCCCAAGAATAGTCAGTCCATTCCTTTTCTATGTCCCTGATTCATTATAATCACTAGTTCATTCTGTACATCAGATTATTTATTCACTTGATTCTTAGATTCACTTGATAGATGCATATTTGTTGTTCACAATTTGTATCTTTACCTTTTTCTTCTTCCTCTTCTTAAAGGATACCATTCAGCATTTCGTATAATACTGGTTTAGTGGTGATGAACTCCTTTAGCTTTTCCTTATCTGTGAAGCTCTTTATCTGACCTTCAATTCTGAATGACAGCTTTGCTGGATAAAGTAATCTTGGTTGTAGGTTCTTGGTATTCAGCACTTTGAATATTTCTTGCCATTCCCTTCTGGCCTGCCAAGTTTCTGTTGAGAAATCAGCTGACAGTCGTATGGGTATTCCCTTGTAGGTAATTGAGTCTCTTTCTCTTGCTGCTTTTAAGATTCTCTCTTTGTCTTTTGCTCTTGGCATTTTAATTATGATGTGTCTTGGTGTGGTCCTCTTTGGATTCCTTTTGTTTGGGGTTCTCTGCGCTTCTTGGACCTGTAAGTCCATTTCTTTCACCAGGTGGGGGAAGTTTTCTGCCATTATTTCTTCAAATAGGTTTTCAATATCTTGCTGTCTCTCATCTTCTGGCACCCCTATGATTCTGATGTTTGTACGCTTGAAGCTGTCCCAGAGGCTCCTTACACTATCTTCGTATTTTCGGATTCTTTTTTCATTTTGCTTTTCCGGTTGGGTGTTTTTTGCTTCTTCGCATTTCAAATCTTTGACTTGATTCTTGCGCTCCTCTGGTCTGCTATTGGGTGTCTGTATAATATTCTTTATTTCAGTCCGTGCATGCTTAATTTCTAGTTGGTTCTTTATCATAGCATCGAGGGCCTCATTAGTTTTCGTGAGCCTCTCCTCAAGTTTATTGGCAGCTTCTAGCCCATTATTGCAAGCCCTCAAAATTGCGATTTTTAGCTCTATATCCTCCATTTCTGTCATGTTTTTTTGTCTCCACATTTTTTATGCTTTCTTGGTGCACCCCCTTGCGGTCTTTGTAGGAAGTCTTGTTCTAGTTAAGCCTTGATTATTGTAGTTAATACTAGAGGGATTTGACCCCCAGGCCGACTGGCTGTGAGAATCAGCTGTGTCTGCTGCAGTGGGAAAACTTCTGTCCTCTGGAGAGGCGCTAATCTAGCCTTTGCCTGAGGTGATCCGGCAAATGGCTCTGCGCAGGGCTTGGGCGGGGCGGGATCAACAGGGCGGACGGAGGGAGCGGGTATGGCTGCTCTCAGTCCCGTTCCCAGAAGCTCTGCTTCTCAGAATCCCAGCAAACCCTGCAAACCTCAGAGAGAAAGCTGCCCTCACGTTCCAACTGTTGCCAGACAATCCCGCTTCTCCCATTTGAGTCTGAGTCCCTAGAGACTCGCCCGGATCTGGAGCTCAGAGTCTGAGACTCCCTCCTGATTGAAAACGACACCCGAGCCCTCAGCCACCAGCCCGCTTTGCGCACGCACCTCCGCACCTGAGTATTTTCCACACTGCGCCTCCTCTGAGCCTCGGTATGCTGTTGTCTTTCCTTCTAGTTGAAGAGTCTCTCCTCAGCCAGCCTTCCTGTGGTTCTGGGTGATGTCCGTTCCGTCTTTTAGTTGTATTTTTGAAGTGGTTGTTTGCGGCAGCAGTCTCCGGTGTTTACCTATGCCGCCATCTTGCTCGGACCTCTCGGTTGACACTTCTCTGCTCTTGGCGCCTCTGCACCTTCTACCCAGCAGTCTCAATGCGCTTTTTTCTTTCCTTCTAGTTGTAGAACTTCCACTCAGCCAGCTTTCCCGTGGTTCTGGATGATAGCTGTTTTGTCTTTTAGTTGTAGTTTTAATGTGGTTGTGGGGGGCAGCACGTACAGGTTTATACCTTATGCTGCCATCTTGGTTCTCTAGTGTTCATTTTTATCTTTGCTAATTTGATAAGTGAGCATGTGTACCCCTGGGTGATTCCTAGGCATGTCTACAATATGTCTTTGACTTCTTCCTATATGTACCAGTCTCTTTCTGTCCCTTATCAAAAGCATCTGACATAGTTAATTCCATCCTCCCCTTGCCACACTTTTGCTTTTTTTATACCCTAATTTATTTCCCAAACTTTTCTAGAACTTTTATTGGAACTGCTTGCATTTCAATATATACTGCTTTGTTCCTGAAGGGCCTGATGAGTCTTCAGCTTAGTCCCCAAGGGCCTGATGAGTCTTCAGCTTAGGCCCCGAGGGTCCTGGCATGGCGCCAGCTGGGACAGTCTCCAGGATAAATTCAATTTGTTGTTGTTAATATAAGTTCACATCAAACTCTTTACATTCTGAAATTTGCATTTCCACTTGAAATCATCCCATTTGAATGAGTAAGAAAGGTCTCATTATTGAGCACTTCATCACCCTTTTCCACAAATCTTCCCCTGAATGGATCTCCTTCCCTCATTGTTCCCTTACCCTTACAGAAGCTGCACATTTTTACCATATCTTTCTTTCTCCTGGACTCTTGACTTCACCTCTTAATCATTCTTAGAGTTAACAAATTAAGCAAATGAGTCATCTGGAGTTTCCTGTCCTTTTTTTCTCTCATTTCTCTCCCACCATTGACTCTATTGACTCTATTTATCTTCCCCTTCTCCTTCCTGTACCTTCTTTAAAAAAAAAAAAAAAAGCTTTTTTGCACACTGGCTATCATTTCAGATTAAATCCAGGATCTGACAGTATCTGTGGAATTGAGCAAGATACTCATCTTTCTGAACCCAATTTCCTCACCTGTAAAATGAGAGGAAAATACCTAACTCATTGAGTTATTTTGTGAACTAAATGAGGTAATGCATGTCAAGTTCTCAGCACAGTGCCTGGTGTGTACAAAGCACTCAGTTAATTGTAGCTTGTATATAAGTAGCTGACCCAGACACTCATGACATTCTTGACTAAATGAAGCTATGGAATGAGCAATGGAATTTTCTAAGCACTTGCCTTCTGGGTTCTTACAGCTTCCTTGTGTGAAGTGCTGGTTCTGCCTAGCTTGTGCCCTCATGGAACTCGATCTCTTTCTCTACCTCTTGATCTGATAGCTTGTACTGTCCTAATATCTCTAGCAGGGGTTTGTTCTCTTCCTCCCAGGAAGCAAAGTTGGCTTCTTCCCATAGCGTGCTGCTCACTCAGAAACAAAGTGCATTTTATTAATTCATCTGTTCAGTCAACAAATGTAAATTGAGACTCCACTTTGTCCAAAGCACCTTGTTGTTGGACAAAGTTGCCAAATCGCCTCCAAGTTGCCAGTAGCCTATAGGGAGATAGTGTATATATCTATGAAAAAAACTAATACAGTATAGTAAGGGATCTGTCACAAAAGACTAAAGTGCTTTGGGAACTCAAAGAGAGAAGAGAGTTCTTTTAGCTCAGGAAAGCAGCTTGTTTATTGGATGAGGTAGCATTGGAACTGGGTCTAAAGCAGCGGTTATCAACCTGTGGGTCTCGACCCCTTTGGGGGTCAAACGACCCTTTCACAGGGGTCGCCTAAGACCATCGGAAAACACATATATAATTACATATTGTTTTTGTGATTAATCACTATGCTTTAATTATGTTCAATTTGTAACAATGAAATTGGGGGTCACCACAACATGAGGAACTGTATTAAAGAGTTACGGCATTAGGAAGGTTGAGAACCACTGGTCTAAAGGATAAATGAGTTGGACACTACAAAAAAAGGAGGAGGACTTAAGAGAGATAGCTGTGGCATGATGTAATTTAGATGGATTCTGTTATAAAATTTTGACATAAGCTAAAACATAATTTGTTTCTTTGTGTAATTGAAAAATCAGGTGGTAAAGTGGCTCCAGGCAGGGTGTGAGTTGGGGGTACAAACATGGTCACCTAGTCTTGGTTTCTTGCACTTCATCTCTTGGCTCCAGTCTCTGTGGGGTAACTGTATTCTCAGATTCTCCTCTGATGGTAGCATGATAGCAACAGCAACTCTAGCCTCGCAACTTTATAGAGAGTTGAGAATGAGTCTTTTCTCCAAAAGTCCCAGCAAGAATCTCAGCATCTCTGGCTTTGGTTGGGTCACATGTCCATAACTGAATCAATCCTTATGACTGGAGGTATGATTGGCTAGGCAATGAATCCCTTGCCTTCCAAAAGGTGTAATACCACTGCCAGAAGAACCTAGAGTGAGAGTATAGGAGGGTTCATCCACCAGAGGGACTTAAGAGTATTTTCACTTTAAGATAAGTAGAAAAAAACAACAGATGTCCACCCAGTGCGAAGAAGAGACCTGCAAATGGTGCATTCTGGTTAGAACGTAAGATGTTTGAAGGGAATTAAAAAGGATAGAGCTGAAATACAAGTTGGGGCCAGATTGTGAAGTGTCTTGAACAGAAGACTAAGGTGTTTACACTACAGTGTATTTAGACTTTAATGTGGTGGCATAGCAGTAGGTCACTGAAAAATGATGCAAGATGTTAAACCTGATCCAAACCATGCATGGCCCGGTACCCTCTGCCAGCATTGTTATAGAAATATTGAGCAGGAAGAGAGAAAAGCAGCAAGAAAAAGTACACACTGATAGAGAAAGAAGACCATGAATATCTAACCTGGAGGGAGGGCAATGGGCATGGAGGCAGAGAGTTTAAGAAGGTTAAGGAACTGGAGTCAACACATGAGGGCAAGAGTTAGACAATGTTTCTGAAGATGGTTGCTTTTGAGTGGGATTAAGTAATAAATAAGCCCCTAAATAATTTATATTTGGCTTTTTGAAGAAAATCTTAATTTTTCAAACTTTGTTTTATTCAGGTTAATGTTAAAATGAGTTAGAATTTTGCAAGAAGAGTAACTAGAAGGGAAAAGAGGTAGGAGGGCCAAGATAGGTAGTGTGCTTGGTGTCAGGAAGAGAGTCCTGTAATGGAAATTGTAGGCAATACACACAAAAACCAGAATCAGGAATTATGTCAGGTGACACTTGTGTAAGCTGAAAAAATAAACATAATACATTTTGTTTTTTCTTTACAGGACTGGTATGATTCAGGAAAACCTTGTGTATTTTGGCTCTCTGGTTTCTTTTTCACCCAAGCCTTTTTAACTGGAGCTATGCAGAATTATGCCAGAAAATATACCATCCCTATTGATTTACTAGGATATGAATTTGAGGTACAGTAACTTCTTAAACTGCACAGTATAGCATTACATCAAAGTCATGTAGTTAAGCAAAGAGGATATGCAGAATTCATATTTTTATAGCCCATTATATGCAATTTGACTTTTTTCATTCTTTGAATTTCATGAAGAAAGTATATAATATTTGTCTTGCTATCTCTATAATATAATAGAAATTTTATATATCTCAATATTCAATTTGAATAATCCAGGAGCATTTGAGATCTTGCTCCTCGGCATATGTTGTCAGTTTGAGCTCAAATACATTCTTAAAAATTCTCTTTTAAAAAAGCCAATGCTGCTTTTCTATTTTAGCAAAAATTAATATGAGGTACAGTAAAACTTGATAAAATGCTTCATAAAGAACTGTATTATACATTTTTACATTTACACTTTACTGAAAATTATATAGTTTAAGGAGCTCTAATATAACAGAGTTTCCCTGAATGTATTCTGAAGATTTAGCCAATGTTTTCTTTATGAGACTAAAGTTATCTGGAGAGGAGATCATTACCAGTGTGTGCCTCTCCCTTTAGGTTATTCCTTATGATAAATCTGAGACATCACCAGAAGATGGAGTTTACATCCATGGATTATATCTCGATGGAGCACGCTGGGACAGACCAAGGTCCATAGTTTCAAAGCAAAGACCTCCTCAATTGTAGCTGAATCTTCAGTCAGATAAGCTGGCTGCTGCCTTCCTCCCTGACACGCACCCCCCACCCCAACCAAAATGCCTCTTCTAGGGAATATGTCAAGTAATAAATAATATTAGAATTCTTGCCATAAATCATTACTCAGGCTGGGGCAAGTGATGAGTGGTTTTTAGATCTTGAATAGTGTTTAGTTAATATTTCAGTGGTCTAAGTTAATGGACATCATTTTCCTACTTCTTCTGTTTTATAACAGTTACCTTCCATTTTATAAAGTGTAGGAGCACCTCACTTTTAAACAATTTACAGTTATATTAAAGGTATTATTTCTACTGGTTAATGGAAAACTTTTTCTTGTATTTTGATGACATAATAAATAAATATTTAAAATAAGTGCTGAATTTCCAGCTTGGGAAACTAAGCAATGCTATTCTTTTTTCATGTATATACTAGTAGCCCTGTGCACAAATCTGTGCACCAGTAGCTCACCAGTAGCTCACTGCCGTTCTCCTGTTGCTCCCCCGCCCCCCTCCCACCCCTACTCCCCCTCATAGCTTCTGACCTGCCCCCTCCTGTAGCTCTCCGCCACCAGCTTGTAGCTCACTGCCCCATCCTCCTGCTGATCCGTGATCCGGTCGTTACACGGTCAGTCGTTACGCTTCACGGCATAATGACCATTTGCATATTACATCTTTATTATATAGGATACTTTTATTGATTTCAGAGAGAAAGGGAGAGGGAGAGAGAAATAGAAACATCAATGATGAGAGAGAATCATTGATTGGCTGCCTCCTGCACGCCCCCGATTGGGGATTGAACCCACAACCCAGGCATGTGCCCTTGACCAGAATCGAACCCAGGATCCATCAGTCCCCAGGCTGATGCTCAAACTGGCTAGGGCAGCAATGCTATTCTTGTTTGAAATATATAAGGTAAGAGAGGAAGAAAGAACATATTTCCCCTGGAAATTCACTAATAAACATAATCCTCTATTTCCAGAGTCAGAGTTAGACTTGGCTCTCAAGGGAACATTAAAGGCCAAAGCAGAGAAAATCGCTTAAGGACCAAGAAGGTGGTTCTACAGAGATCATTCTAAGACAGGGCTATGAGAAGACTTGGATGCACATAGTTCATTTGATTGTTTCTCTCTTCTTTTTCATCACTCTACTGGGTGATGAAATTTCTCTTAACTTTTTTTTTTAATATATTTTATTGATTTTTTTACAGAGAGGAAGGGAAAGGGATAGAGAGTTAGAAACATCGATGAGAGAGAAACATCGATCAGCTGCCTCCTGCACACCCCCTACTGGGGATGTGCCTGCAACCAAGGTACATGCCCTTGACAGGAATCGAACCTGGGACCCTTGAGTCCGCAGGCCAATGCTCTATCCACTGAGCCAAACCGGTTAGGGCTCTTAACTTTTCTTTATATATGTATTCATCTTTTTCTTCCTTTCTTCTTTCAAACTAATAAGCAAACAAACAAACAATGTAGCATAGGAAAAAGAAGCCACATTTTCTAGATAGGCAGATCTATATTTGAATCCTGACACTGGCATTTCAGAGCTGTGTTGCTATGAGAAAAGTACTCACACTTTCTGAGCCGCCACTCTACCTGTGAAATCAGATTAGGATTGGGGACAAGATCATTGAGAGGGTGAAATGTTATAGGCCACTGTCTGCCTCATGGACAGCACTTTAAAAATAGCAGGAATTAATATTTGTCCACTGTTTGTACATATCACCTTTGCACAGTTTTCTTTTGGTTCTCTCAATTTTTCATTGCCTCTTCCTTGGATTTATTTTGTTGTTGTTATTTCTTTTTGTTTTTTTTTTACATTTCTTTTCCTGCATATCTTTGGTTCTCTCTTATACTAAAAGCCACTATCAAAGTAGCAGTTTCTGAGAAGCAAATTTCATCTTATGTCTAATAAATGTCTCTCAATTTCTCTTCACAGTGGATTACTTGCCGAACAATATCCCAAACTTCTGTTTGACCTGATGCCTATCATATGGATAAAACCAAGTAAATATACTTCTAACAAAACTTCTTAGAGCTTTAGGGAGAATAATGGTAGATATTTTTAACTGCTCCCCCAAATAAGTCTTTGCTCAAGCCTATTAGAGTTTTGTCCAATTACAATAAAAGTTCCTCCGTTTGTGTGTTGCATTTGTATTATTTTAGGAATATCATTCTTCCTCTTTTTTGCTCTTATCCCATGGGATGTAACATTTTCTTTGTCCTTCCCCCACACTTCTACTTTTCAGAGTCTAGAGCTTCCCATCAATATTTTGATTCTCAGGTGCTTTTCTTTGCACACCTCTCTGAGACACAAATAGGCTTGGCACAGTCTCCAGCTAACAACTAGAGTTTTCTGGCTATAAAATCTACTAGGCCTAGGAGCTGTCAGGTGCCCCAAGGTTAAGACACTGCAAGCCACATGGGTGCAGCCTAGTTTTGTCCCCTTGGAAAAGTAACTTGCTCCTTCCCTCCTTTGCTATCATCATTTTTCCACAAGTCTAAACAAATGAGGTTCATTCTTTTGTTTTCTATTTTTTCTGTATTTTTTTATTCTCAAATAACTATTAATGAAAACATTTATAAATCACCCATAATCACTACCCAGACCATCAAGTATTTCCATTATTAATGCAGTTCTAGTTCAACTCTGAGAAATGTGAACTTCCTTTTGTGAGTAGCTAAGAATTGGTATATTTGTCTTAGTAATAACCTGCTGAAAACAAATAGTAACTTCAACTTCTAATTTATGGGTTTCTTGTATTAGAGCTCTAAGCAACTGTTTCTCTTTTTGCATCTCCCCCATTACCTATGCTGTATTTTATTCCTTCCTCCCTTACTCCTTCTCTCCCAAGTCCTCTTGAGTGTTTTCTTGCCTGTAAGTGATCCAGACCTTAAAATCAATTCCTGTCCTCCAGACCTAGAATCATGAACCTTATGAAATCACTTCCTTATTTCTCAACTATAATTACTATAAAAACTTTAAAAAGTAGCATCAACTTTCAAATGTTCAAATATCATAACCATAATCTTAAATTTAGCACTTGCCATTTTATTACAAGATAGTTGTTCTTTTAGTACCATTGGGTCTTTTTCTCTTTATGAAATGAATATATTTCTTTTATTTTTTTTCAAGATCAAAAGGCTCAGATTGAGAAGTCGAATGCCTATGTCTGTCCCCTCTACAAGACAAGTGAACGTAAAGGAACTCTTTCCACGACAGGACATTCTACTAACTTTGTCATTGCAATGTTGTTAAAAACGGACCAACCCGTTCAACACTGGATCAAGCGTGGGGTTGCTTTGCTTTGTCAGTTGGATGACTAAATTGGACAAATTTAACAAAATATCTGAAGCAAAAAAAAAATACCATGTCTTCACATACTTCAAAATATATATATAATAAAACCAAGTATCTTGGTATCATTCTTAAGTGGTCTTTGTGAAAGGTCTTTGCATAGCTCTCCTCCCTGATATATCACTCTTGATTGGGATATGGCCTCCTAAATGGACTTTTTTTTTTTTCATTCATTCAACCTTTGTTGATTCTTTTTTATTTACTGTTGTCCATGGAGCTTACACTCTAGGCCAGGGGTGGGGAGGGAGGTGGGGGAGTGCGGTTATGCTAAGAACAAAACAACCACAGAAAATTAACCAAGTATGACAAATGCTAGGCAGACAATCCAAAATCAGTGGTATAATCAACAGTTTCAAGGTGTGTTGTTTTTTGTGTGTTTTTTTTAGATTGATTGGTTAAGCAAAGCCCCACTGAAGAGGTATCCTTTAAGCTCAGATTAAATGTGTGTGTGTGTCATAATGGTTCTTTTTTTTTTTTCCATTATCATTTATCCCCTCTATAGCCTCCTCCCTCCCTCTACTGCCCACGTGGTTGCCACATAGATGGACTCGAAATCATAGTCAGACACTTAGGGAAGAAAAACATAAAATGTTTCTTTGTAGCATATAGCAATTTTTAAAGCTTCTATTTTGTTCCTTTTTTTAGTTAGATATGTATGTGAAAAACAGATTTGAGCAGAATAACTGGATAAAATTTAACTAATATCAGAAAACATCTCTTTTCACAAGTGTCAAGTCATTCCTCAGCTTCAGCAATAGTTTACTTTTCGCTCACCTACACAAACATTTAAAATACATAGATAATAAAGGAAAATAGTATTACAACAATTCTAAAACTAAGCCTCTTATGCAGCGGTTCTCAACCTGTGGGTCGCGACCATCAGAAAACACATATAGCATATCAGATATTTACATTACGATTCATAACAGTAGCAAAATTACAGTTATGAAGTAGCAACGAAAATAATTTTATGGTTGGGGTCACCACAACATGAGGAACTGTATTAAAGGGTTGCAGCATTAGGAAGGTTGAGAACCATTGCTATGTCACACTTTTATTTTTTTAATATATTTTTTATTTCAGAGAGGAAGGGAGAGGGAGAGAGAGATAGAAACATCAATGATGAGAGAGAATCATCAATTGGCTGCCTCCTACATGCCCCCTACTAGGGATCGAGCCTGCAACTCGGGCATGTGCCCTTCACCAGAATCTAACACAGTACCCTTATGTCCTCAGGCCGACACTCTATCCAGTGAGCCAAACTGGCAAGGGCTGTCATACTTTTAAACATTAGTTTCATTTCTCACAGTATCCCTGAGGCGAGGAAAGGAAACTCAAAGCAGTGAAGTGAACGCACAAAGGCAGTGAGATCCTGCACACCTGGGTGGTTTGTGCTTCTCAGCATTAGCTTCATAGCTCATTTTAAATGCGACGTGGACTCATTATTTTTAATAGTTAATATTGTTCTTATTTAGTGTTCATTCAGAATATTAATGTACATTAACAATTTAAAACATTTCAATGAAAACAAAATTTTATTATCCTGTGTGGAGTTAATTCCTTCCTTAGAATTCCCAGGATATTTGGCTGCAGCTCTGTAACCCAAAGAAAATGTAGGTGCAGCTACCCAGTGAATCAGAACCATTACAACAATCACTTTTGATAATTTGGTTAGCGCAAAATGTTTGGCCTCTAAGTAGAAAGTTGATTCTGTTTTGCAGTGGCTGTGTACATGAGTCTTAAGAGAATGAATTCACTTCATGTGGACATCCCCCTGCAAAATAAGCATTTGTTCCAAGAATGGGATTAAAATGTTTAATCCTTTAAACTTGATGAATATAGCAGTGAAGAAAAGAGATCATGTTTCCAAACAGAGCTAAACCACAAGTGAAAAAAACAAGGAGAATGTGCCAGACTGTCTTATGATCAAGTATTTATAGTAAAGCTATTAATGGAATGGTCATTACAGCGGAGTGGAGATCCTAAATATAAATGAAAATTCTGAAGTGCTAATCTTTAACAGTGAAAACTGCAGTGCTGTCCTAAAGGTGATAACAGAAGGTAAAAAGTCTTTGGTATGTGATCAAACTTATTCTATGCTAAAACTGAAATGTTCTTTTAAAACAATTGAGATATTGCCTACTAAAATGCATTGGTTTGTATGACTACTATTCCTATTATTTGTTGTATTATTTATTCTTATAGCATGTTCATGTTTAATATTTACTAACTAAATAACATTTTTTTCAGCATAACTTTCACTGAATGTAGAAAGATGTTCTTTTGAGTAAGTGCTATAATCACTGAAAAAAACTCATAAGTCAAGTCTAAAATAGATGAAGATAAGCATTTCCAAAGTTACAATGGTACTGACCTACGTTTCTATGAAAGGTCATTTTTCCTGAATAAGCTTTAAGTAAATGGTTACTCATGGAAGCTTCTAATTTATATTGAATCTGGGCAGTTCAGAATTTTTTTTAAGTTTATGAAAAATTTTTAAATGAATATCTTGTTTTCTAAATTTTGCATTTTATTCATTTATCAATCCTATCAGTTTTGTAGTTTTCTGAATTTCATGTATAATTTTAAGCAGTTGGTCATCTGTTTGTACAACTAGAAAAATATTTTTAATTCATTCTGACTTTAAATTAAATCTGTAGGTGTTTCATATGGATAATTACACCAGTGATGAAGACTTAGACATGGACTTTGATACCCAGCTCATCATTCAACAGAGTTTACAGGATATTTGCAAGCCAGGGACTGCAGAGCAGGCACCTGAGAATGAGAGGTAATGGTATCTCATTACCAATGTAGCATAAGTACTCAGGAGTTGACACTAGTGTTTTGACAAAAACAGGAGAAAGGGTCAGAATCCAAAGAGCTGCACATATACTTAAAATATCTATGAGACTTGATGCCTGACAAAACAGGAAAAATTTGGACATAATTTAGAATTGAATTAGACAGTAAAGAAAACAGTTGAAGGAGGTTAGCAGCAAACCAGGGTGAGGAGATGCAGACTGATAATCAGAAAGAAGAAACACATGAGAATATGAAAGGCTAGAGAACTCTTGTGCATCTTGTCTTTGGGGGGCTAAGGAAATACATAAATCCAACCAAGACCCATAGAAAATTATCTTCAACCTCCCTGGGTGGGTAGGGTAAAGTCCATGCTTTAATCTCAACTCAAAAGGAGGAATTATGTAAACTTAAATCCAGAAGAAGAGACTAACTAGTTCTGAAGGGTGTGGATTTAGAGTTCTGTTATGACAACACTAGAAAAGAACCCCATGGGTCCCTCAGCGGTGTAAGAAAATCTCCCTGGAAATGAGCTGACTGCAGCTGAGCCCACCTAGTCAAATGCTCTCTGGCTGATCAGCAACCTCAACTCCCTGAGTAGTCACTATTGTTTTTCAAGGGTGATAAACCCTGTTTGCTTCTGATGGTGACTCCTATGTACCTGCTGGAGTTAAAACTGGATAAATGTGTCTTAACCCCAAGAGATTTTATAATTAAATATAGGGATGTTGAAGTACATCAAAACTATAGTATTTTTTAAAAGTAACACACTCATCCTGGCCAGTGTGGCTCAGTTGGTTGGGCATCATCCCATGCACCAGAAGGTTGCCCGTTTGATTCCTGGTCAAGGACACATGTCTGGGTTGCAGACTCAATTCCTGGTATGGGGCGTGCAGGAGGTGGCAAATCAATGTTGTGCTCTCACATCCATGTTTCTTTCCCTCCCTCTTCCTTTCTCTCTCTCAAAATCAATTAAGTCCACTGGCTGTGGCTCAGTGGTTGAGCATACACCCACAAACCAAGAGTTCACCAGTTTGATTCCTGGTCAAGGGCACATGCCTGGGTTTCGGGCTCAATCCCCAATAGGGGGCGTGTAGGAGGCAGCCAATCAATGTCTCTCATCGATGTTTCTACTCTCTTAACCCTCTCCCTTCCTCTCTCTGAAATCAATAAAAAAGCCCTGACCGGTTTGGCTCAGTGGATGGAGCGTCGGCTTGTGGACTGAAGGGTCCCAGGTTCAATTCCGGTCAAGGGCATGTACCTTGGTTGCGGGCACATCCCCAGTAGGAGGTGTGCAGCTGATTGATGTTTCCCTCTCATCCATGTTTCTAACTCTATCCCTCTCCCTTCCTCTCTGTAAAAAATCAATAAAATATATATTTTTAAAAATCAATAAAAAACATATTTAGCCCTCGCTGGTTTGGCTCACTGGATAGAGTGTCAGCCTGTGGACTGAAGGGTCACGGGTTCGATTCCGGTCAAGGACACATGGCTGCGGGCTCAACCCCCAGTTGGGGGCATGCAGGAGGCAGCCCATCAATGATTCTCTCTCATCATTGATAATTCTATCTCTCTCTCCCTCTCCCTTCCTCTCTCTCTAAAAATAAAAATATTTTTAAAAAACATTTAAAAATCAACAAACAAATAAATAAATAAAAATTAAAAAGTAACACACTCATGGAGCCATACTGTTTTAAGCATTTCATAAATATTAACTCATTTAAATCCTAATTGTCATTACCTCTTGATGTGGTAGGTAATATAATTACCCCTACTTAGAGATAAGGAGACTAAGACTTACCCAAGGTCACAGAGCCAGTAAGTAAAGAGCCAGGCATCCTGGCTTCAGAGTCTGTGCTCTTTACCACACTATTCCTACACTTTTGTGTTAAATTTAGGAATAATCATTAAATAAAGTTTTGTAAAGAAATTGAGTTCATTATATTATCTGTTATATTAATATTGTTATTAAATATGTTTAAGTTCATTGAGTAATTGACTTTTAAATCATGATTTTAGGTTGAAAGGTATGAGATTTTGATTAAGAGTGATAAAATGTTTCAGAGAAATTATAGTTGACTATAGTTATAAATTTCGAATAGTCAGTCCATTCCCTTTCTATGTCCCTGATTCATTATAATCACCAGTTCATTCTGTACATCAGATTATTTATTCACTTGATTCTTAGATTCACTTGTTGATAGATGCATGTTT